TGAAAAGAGTGAATCCGCCTAGGGTTGTGATTGATAACGAAGTCTGCGAGAACGTTACTGTCATTAAGGTAACTTTTTGAGACTTTCTCTGAGATTAGGTTATGGTTTAGGTGAGAAGAGAGGTAAAAGAACATGTTTTGATTTGTGGGTTTTAGGTGGATAGTGCGAACAAACATGGGATTCTTCTGGAGGTTGTTCAAGTCTTGACTGATCTTAACCTCACCATCAAGAAAGCTTATATCTCCTCTGATGGTGGCTGGTTTATGGATGTTTTCAACGTTACTGATCAAGATGGGAACAAAGTCACCGATGAAATCGTTCTTGGATACATCCGTAAAGTAAGTAAACAAGATATGAATTTGTCCTTCTCCATTTAATGATATTAACTGTGGTTCTTGTGTGTTTGTTTGTTGCAGTCTCTTGGCCCTGATGACTCTTCTTGCTATAGTCCAAGATCAACCATCGGTGTTAAACAATCTGTCGACTTCACTGTCATTGAGCTAACGGGAACCGACAGACCCGGTTTGTTGTCTGAGCTATGCGCTGTTCTAATGGACCTTCAGTGCAATGTGGTCAACGCTGAGATCTGGACGCATAAAGCAAAAGCAGCGGCGGTTTTACAAGTGACAGACGAGGAAACCTGCTCTGCGGTCACTGATCCAGAGAGGTTGTCCCAGATTAGGAAACTTCTTGGTTACGTGCTTACAGGTGGTAGCAGGAGCAGGAGATCCCGTGAACCGAAAACCACGGTGTCTTCTTCTGTTGACGAGACTTATGCGGATCGTAAGCTTCATCAGTTGATGTTTGCTGATAGAGATTATGATGAATGGGAGGGGAATAGTGTTGGTGGTGATGAGGATAAGAGTGGGAGAGTGGTTCCACATGTGGATGTCTCCAACTTGCATGATTTGGAGTATTCTGTTGTGATGATTAAATGTAAAGATAGACCAAAGCTTCTCTTTGATACTGTCTTTACCTTGACGGACATGAAGTATGTGGTTTCACATGCTAGCATTGATGCTGAAGGCCCTGAAGCTTATCAGGTATGTATATATACACATAAGTTTCTTGATTTGGTCCACATATTGTCTTTATCTAAGTTCTCTGTTTTTTTTGTAGGAATATTACATAAGACATACAGATGGGTCTCCAGTCAAGTCTGAGGCAGAAAGACAACGAGTGATCAAATGTCTTAAAGCAGCTATTCAGAGAAGAGTCTCTGAGGTAAAGACTATTGTCATTTGGTTGAATGTTGTGTTTGTTGTGGCTTAACGTTTGGTTCAATGTTTTTAGGGCTTGAAGCTTGAGCTTTGCACTTCAGATAGAGTAGGGTTACTCTCTGATGTGACTCGGATATTCCGTGAGAACAGTCTTACAGTAACGAGAGCTGAAGTGAAAACAAAAGGAGGGAAAGCTCTCAACACATTCTATGTGAAGGATGCTTCTGGTTATCAAGTTGATGCTAAGACCATAGATGCAATTAGGCAAGTCATTGGTCAGACGATACTCCAAGTGAAAGGTGGAAACACAGAAGCGAAACAGAGTTCTCAAGAATCACAAACAGGGTTTCTCTTTGGTGTTTTCAAGTCGAGATCTTTCGTCAATTTCGGGTTGATCAGATCTTGAAAGGAAGTGTTCCTCTTATCTCTGTAAATAACAGTACATTGTGTGAATATGTAGATGAAGAAGCTCTTTTAGGACATCAAAGTTTAGGGCTTTTTAGTATATTCTTGTGTAATCTCTGGATGTATATAAAAAGTTGGATTATTATTATCATTTTCCTTAAGTGCTAGTTTGGTAAATCTCATAAGATTTCCGTTGACTGGCTTTTGAATATCTTATCTTATTCAGAAGGCGGCGATAGATTTTTTTGGCACTGTTAGTAAATGATACAATCATAGAATCTATATTATAATGATTCACTTTTGAACCTCCTAAGGATAACCACCTCAGCAAGTTTATGGATCTCATATGTGTTATTAGGGAAAACAAAAACGTATAACATTTTGTAAGACCATCCGCAATAGCGAATCCTTAGGAGGAATCCTTAGAGAAATATTAATTTTATAATCAATGGGTCCTATGAACAGTTAAAGATTTTAAGGAAAAAATCCTTATGTAAAGATTGATCCTTACACTATTCGCGGGCTCCACTGTCCACGTGGCGGTCCGTGAGTGGTCAGTATTTTTTTTTAAAAGAAAAAATTTAAAATATACTTATATAATCCGAAATACCCTTTTTCTTTTTTCCTAAGGATTCCCCCTAAGGATCCGCTATTGCGGATGCTCTAAGATTGAATATTATTGATGAGTGATGAAATGGCCAAGTGGTGTAAGTTGGTGACTAGAAGTTGGTACTGCGAGTGCGCGGGTTCGAAACGTAATGTTTGCATGCAATTTTTTTTTTTAATTTGGGTTTTTCGGGATACGTAAAAGCTTAGAGAGATTCAGAATGATTTTTTATGCTGGTTGTAGGGATACAAAATGACTTAAGGATTTGAAACTTTATAAGACCATCTTAGATACTTTTATAAGAAATGTTATCATGTTCTAACCTCCAATATCATTTCAATTCAGTTATAATAATCAAATAAAATAAAAACATATTTTTTCAATAATAAATATTTACCCTTAACCACTCCGATCGGCCATAAATCTCATATACATCACAATTAAGAAAAAAAATTATATATATATATATATATATATATATACAACATAATTTCAGAAAGAAAATTACACTAATAGACACATGTCCTTTTTGTCATGTCCATTAAATTATACTTTTTACATGAAAGCACTAATAACAGTAATGCTCGATAAAATCACTAATAAAGAGAATACTCAATAAAATCACTACGAAGATAAAATATGAAAATATCAACCCATATGAATTTGATTTTTATTTTTCTATTAGACTAATCAAGTTGTGTGACTTCTAATGTTTCATTCATCACCATTATAGATAAGCCAGATAAACAAATGTTAAAAAAAAAACAGCAAAGTCTCATACACAAAATTACACAACACATCAACAATGTATCTAACCCCCGCGCTTACGCGGAGACTATGCATCTAATAATCTTTAAAGAAGCAAAAATAAATATCGCTGGCTTGTTATAAATATGAAAAGAATAAAAAATATCGATGGCTTATTAATATACTAAGTTCTAGACTTTTGGCAAGGTCAAAAACCAAAATCGGATCATGATCCTTGTTGATTGGTTTGCCACACCTTGACTATGACTGTCTCCACGTGTTACTATATCCATGACCTTTTAAATGTTTTTTTATTAAAATAAATGAGAAAAGCTTGCATCCACCAATGTTCTAATCATTTTGTTTAAATCAATATACAGTTGCACTAGATAAGTATAAAAAAAAAAGTGGTTACAATCAATTTGCACCTCTCTCAAAGAGTCTTTTGTTACAATCACTCCATCTATACTGTTAAAGCTGAAGTACAAAAATAAAGTGTTTGGAAACATGAATAAGAAAATTTTAAAAGTTTGATTGGAAACATGGATATCATACAAATTTAATGGGCTTATTTTCTATACTAAAGATTACTGCGGTCCAAGGTACCATTATTATTGTTTTTGGATTTTCTATCATTGATATTACTTTACTTCTAAAAATTATTTATACATATATGTATTCATGTTTTAAATGTATTTAGAATAAATCATGAATAATATATATTTTCTTTATATATTTTATTTATATATTTTATTTATATAATTTATATTGACTATTCTTATAAGTTTTTAACAGTGATATACTAGCCTTCCAATTCTTCATTAAAAATTAAATTAAAAATTTGACTAAATTATATAGTGTATATAACTTTACCTAAATTTAGTCAAAAAACTTTATAAAATATTACTAAAATATTTACGGGTCACAATATTTCAAGACACCTCTGTTACACAATACAATAATGAAATACAACATTTAAACAATATACTATTACTTAGTAAAATTGACACCATTAAATTGTAATTTTGAAATGTTATATATACCATAAAAACAAAGGTGGGTTATGATCTAATAATCATTAAATTACAAGTCAGGCATGAGACATATTTAGCAATCTCCGCCTAGAATATTGAGCTTTTCTTGTAAAATGTAGTCAACTCAACTCTCGAACCCCAACAAATTAAATGAAAATTGCATTCAACTATATAAAGCCCATGATTGATATCTCACTGTCATTAGAAACTTTAGAAGTGAAACAAAAACAACCAAAAGGAGTTGTCAAAAAAAAAAGGGGTAAAAGATGCGGTTGCTCGGCTGGGTTAGTACGGCTATTACCGTATGTATATTTGTGACTGCTGTAATGCGGGCGGCAACCGCCTTTGGGGTTGTGGCTACGACCGTAGCCGTTGGTGTTCTTGCTACGATCATTGTTGCAATTATCATCGCTGCTGCCCAAGCTGCCATGGCCGAAGTCATTGCCACATCTATGCGAAATGGCCTTGTAGGGCTTACTAAATAATGACTCGAGTTAGACTCTATATTTCTATTTTTGTCCTTTATAAAATGTTGTAAGGAAAAATGTTGCAAGAATTTCTTCTTAATTTCTCCTTTTTTGGGGCTTTCGACTCCACTATTTTTTTGTTATTACGTGAATGATTTTGTGCCTTCGGACGTACCCGTCATATGAACTCTTTTCTACGTGAAAAGCTAGCAAATTTTGTGTCTAACTGGTGACCAAGGAATGAAAGGGAATATAGTACTCAGCAAAACTTTAAAAAGGCTCATGATATGTAGGCCATCGATGGATTTTTCAAAAAGAAAAATAGTACACGAGCAAATACAAACGTTTTTGTTTGTCAGCCTTTACATTCTTTTCTATTCGTTTAGAAATAATCATTTCAACTATACTGAAAGATAAAGAATAATAATTTGGGTTTAAGAGGTGTGATTATATAATAGCTGGGCCAAGAGCCGGAAGTCTTTTGTGAAGTTTCGTGACGATCAAGTAATTAACTTAATTGTTACTTTTTTCCGTACGGAAATGGCCATACAATCGGAGTTATGAATACAATCAACCACTCTTCCCATTCCTTCCTCTGTGCGCCACTTTGAATTTTTCTTTCTCTGCCCTAAAACCAAAACTCCTGCTCCTTGTTTCTTTGATTCCTCCACTATTATCTTCCCTTTCTCTTCTGCCGTTTCACTTGAAAATAAGCGAAGAAGCATTAATGTCAAAAGGGCATGCTTGGAACTAATCAGTTTTTTTTATTTGTACTTAAAAGCTTACTTCAGGTTTCTTGAGCTGACAAAAGTTCTTCAATGGATGAACTTGTTCATGAGCCATTGAGTTTCTCTGTGTTTCATCTACAGTTATTAAACATAATAATTCATATAGTTTTTTTGAACTAGTAATTCAACGATATAGCTGTAATATCAAGTGTGTCTGACCCTATTTAGAGCATCTTCAATGTATTATTCCATTTTCTCCTAATTTTTATAATTGATTTGAATTTCATATCAACTACATCAGATTTTGAAGTAAAAAATAGAGAAATGGAGAAATGGCTAAAAAATTAGATTTATTACTTTTGTTTTGGAGTAATCTTATTTTTATTCCAATATTTTTAAAAAGTACTCCCTCCGTTTCAGATTGAATGTCATTCTAGAGTAAAATTTTTGTTTCAAAGTAAGGGTCGTATTATAATTTCAATGCAAAATTTATTGATTTTAAATATCATTATATCTCATTGGTTGAAAAGTGGTTAGGTGTATAGGTAATTGTGTTTTTATTTTGAAAATATGTAAAATTAATTGTTTTCTTAATATTTGTGCAAAAACCTAGAATGACAACTAAATTAAAAAGGAAGGAGTAGTATGATTGGATAAGATGTTTTTCTAACTCTATTTTGAATGAAAAATAAAATAAAGATTGAAGATGTTCTCGCACCTACAATTTTTTTGGTTATGGCTTGTGTTCAGTCATGAAAAAGTATAAGGATGAGTGGAGAATGACCCGAAATTTTGAAGCCATGAAAAAAAAAAAAGATAAATAGTTTGTTTAACGAGAACATCAAAATTTAAGTGAAAGAAGTTTTTGTAATAAAATAAAAACAAAAATACTACAAATTAGAAATCATGATCAAAGAAACAAAAACAACTAAAACACAATTACATGAAACCTCTATAAATTAATAATGTTGGGACTACACCAAAACTAAAATTTTTATTAATTTATAGAGATTACTAATTTATCGAGTTATTAATTGAACCAAAAATTCAATTTGGGACTATGAAATTATATTAATTTATAGAGATATTAATTTATAGATTATTAATTTAAAGAGGTTATACTGTATATTGGATGGAATTCAAGCCTAAAAGAAGCTTTAGGCCCAATTACTATTGAAATCCCAAAGATCTGTTCTTTGTTTGGCTGGCTGTTCATTGATGGAGCTAAATGGTTTACCTTCTAATTCAATGTTTAAATTCAACTTTTGTGTATAAGTGAAAACTCTATAAATTAATACTATTACGACTATCATATTTTATTAATTTGTAGAGTTATTAATTAAAAAAAATTTTAGATTTTTTTTACAGTATATTTATTACAAAACAAGAAAATAGTTTGTTTTACAATATATATACATTATTTTAGAAAGTTGACTTCATATTATTTTATTTTGTGTATATGAAACATGTTCATAGAATTTAAATGTGGTCTAGATATAATTTACTATATATTATCAAAATATACTAAAGTGTTGAAATATAGAGATAGATATTGTGAAAATAAACAAACAATACAATCATTTGTTCGTACTTGTATACAATGTATCTATATATATTTTCATTAGTTTATGATATTAGTGAGATTATACTTAAATAAAATTTTCTAAAGAATATTATTATTATTATTATTATCAGTTTGTGTTATATTTTGAGCAAGTTTAATTGACCAATCATATTTATTAATTTATCGTGTTTCAATATATCTAGTATTAATTTATAAAGTTTCTACTGTATACAAATTGAATTGTGTGTATTAATACCTTGTCCTATGGGTGTTTTTGTGACATGGAGGAGTGTGGTGTTGTCTTCATCGTGGACACATTGTGCTAAGGCCAATTGAAGAGCATTCTTTGACTGTGAAATTGTGTCAACAACAACCATAACTTTTCAGCCATTCTCAGCTTGAGCAGCTTCACCATTCCTACTTCCTCTTTTTTTTTTTTTTTTTACCTCTATGCTTCTAATCGTTCTTTCTAGAACCAGAAGAACTTCTTTCATCTAACTATTTTTCTCGAAGATGATCCTCCTTTGATGATATCCTAATCTTATTCACCCAATATCCAGCTGGTTTTCCCATTTTGATATACTTTCTCTCTATTTTCTTTGTTTTCTGCTCTGTTCTTTGAGTTTTTGGTTGTGTGTTTGAAGTACTATTTTGTTTGTTTGGTTTTGATTGGAGCCATTTCTTGAACGTGCTTCCCATGAAAATAAATAACAGCTCCTTTTGGATAATGCTCTCATAGTTTATATATTTAATACAATTAATTAGTCGTTTTATAATCCATTTCACAATCTTGATACAAATGCAGAGTTGTTCAGAATGAAATTCTTGAGGCATTGCAATTTGACTAAATGAATTACTATTCTGATCCTGAAAATGTTGTCATATAGTCAGACAAATTTCTGTGATATTAAAAATAATAAAAAGAATGCTCCCACATATTTTTGTATTTGAAAGCTCAAAATATTGTTATAATAATCTGGAGTGTGACCATACAGCCTTTGATTATATATAACTGACTTTGTAAATCATGAACTATGTTTCTCTTGCAAAAACCAAATGACAAAAAGAAATGATCTCTGATCTATAAAACACACATATGTATACATATATATATGTATCATTATTTCAGACCATCCATCCAGGGAAGAATCCATTAATAACATTCTGTGATGTTGTTGCTGAGTTGCTTGCATTTGTCACACCAGGATTGTAGTTACTGTTTGGTAAAAAGAAACACAAATTTTTAGGATAAATCATAGAAAATAAATCTATCCAATGGATCTTTTTCTATGCTGAATACCTCATCTGCATTGCTACATTTCCCTGTAAGGGCCTGAAGAAACCAGCTTCTTGACTCGGAGGGTTTGTTTGATAAGAGCTCATGCCTTGTTGTTGCTGGTGATATTGATGTTGTTGTTGATGGGAATGCTCTGCAGCAGAAAAATCTCCCCATATGGATTGAGTAAGGGCTGCATCGCTTTCCTCCAGCTGAGGTAGCAAGAGAGTGAGAGAGAACAATGTTATAACAGATCTCAAAGGGGTTCAATTTCTTGCAGCGCAAGATTTGATGGCACTACCTTTCTCCTAAGATCTCTGTTGGTCTCCAATAACATTTCCTCCTGTAAATTGATGCATAATGAGAGTGTGTTTTATTGAAATGATTAGACACTGTGACTCTTTATGTACCTTTGTTTTGAGGTCTGATAGTTGATCAAGCATGGATCGGGCCTGGCAATAAACAAAGCCAAGAGTTGGTACTGATTTTAATGCTCTCAGGACCAAACAATTGAATATAAACTTGTAATTTATTGAGATTTTATATACCTTTCTTGACCTTATCTGCTTTAGTGATGCATCGACTTGATGTTCTAGCCGCTCAAGCTCATTCACTCCCATCCCAGCTATCTCCTCACCTAGCAAATGCCTAGAGAGAAACAAATTGCTCAAGAGTTATGTGGTTGGAGTAAGCATCTACTTTTCAACATGTGTGATGATTCAAGCTACCTTTGTGACTGTTGAAGGATTTCAACTCTTGATTTGAGCTTCAAGTAGTCCTGGTACTTCTCCTTCCGTTAAAAAGAAAATAAATTAAGGATAATTTTACAAGTTTGAGTTCAGTCTTTTGATATTTCATATAATATAGAGAGAGAATATAGACCTGCAAGTCTTTAGCTGATTGATTTGGATCCATTGTTGCATAACTATGTTTTCTATACTTCTCAACCGTCTTGGTCATACCACTAATTCATACAAACAAATTACTGAATTTTTAACATAAATTGATTAATCAAACTTTGAATTTTGAAAAGGATAAACAAAAAACCTTTAAAACATTGTAAAATGTCTATCTTAAAAACCAAGAGCATCATGGGCTTGCAAAGAAAAAAGGTTTAAAATTGTGCCAGAAAAGAAAAAAAAAATTGTTATGAACAAATGAAAATCAGTAATCACAGTTGTCTTTAACTTTAATAGAATTATAACGACTAGAGAGACACTAACTTAAAGAAGTAGTCAAAGTATTTTTTTGTGTATTTCTTTACAGCTTTGTGTGTATATCCAGAGGTCAAGTCTTAGTCTCACTGGAAATTTGAATCAACCCCAACAATTAAATCTCATGTGTAAAACCTTTCACTATAAATATATTATAGTACCTATATAGCTTCTATATACAAATCTACTGTACTTTCTGTAGCTTTAATCATCAGCTAGACCACCTAAAAGCCCATGATAATATGATAAATCTTTTTGTTAACTTAATCTCACTCTAGAAGCCAGATCTGTACATCAATACCAAGAAGTCACAAAAGAATTTAAAACCCTAAATATTTAAGAATCACAAAGGATCCAAGATAATTAAAGCAATCAAGAAAGACCCAAGCTTTCGTATCCTCTCATTAATACTTAAGAATCAAAAAACCCTAAATATCTGAAAGGAGAGGATTATAGATTTTGTTACCTAGGACTGCTGCAGAACTCGTACAGCTTGCCACGGTTAGAGAAAATGAGAAGAGCAATCTCAGCATCACAAAGGACAGAAAGCTCATAAGCTTTCTTAAGCAGACCATTCCTTCTTTTTGCAAAAGTTACTTGCCTGTTGATCTTGTTATCTATCCTCTTCAACTCCACTTTCCCTCTTCCCATCCTTACAACTCTTTTCTCTTTCTCACTTGGCGAACTAAAGAAGGTTTATATATACACACACATAGACAAACTGTATATGTAAGTGAAAATGTTTAGTGTAGATCTTGTCTCAAAAAGACACTGGTGTTAAATCTAGGGCATAAGTTGGTATCCTCTCTTGTCCGATGACTGGTGGAGGAGGAGGTGAAGGTAGTGGTTGAGTTGGTGGGCCACCTTGTTTCAGGTTCTTCTTTTGTTGGAATGTTGTAAGAGAATAGTTTTTTGTTGATCTTGGCCAAATAAAAGCTTACACAACTTATATCCACCCTCATAAACTTTCCTTTAAATATATCATATATTCTAAATATATATAAGTCGTGTATATGTCATTATTTGTACTTCTTTATCAGGGAATATATTTTTTAGTTTTTTTTCTACATCCTTTTTTGGTAGAAAATAAAACTTGATTCCTAGTACTTTTCCAAGGAGAGTTAAGATATATCTCTCTCTTTCTAGTCCAACCAAAATGCTCCAACTTTTCTCTTTCAGCCTCCACCATTCGATTTTAAGAGATAAATTTCTGCCATATATGTATATATAGATTACTGTCTTTCATGAGATCTAGTCCCTAGAGATAAATTTCTGCCATATATGTATATGCTTTAAAAAGAATAATTGAAAGATTCTGTATATAACCTACAAAGTATGCCTTAAATAGAGTATATTCACAAGTCCAAGTCCTATCCATTAGTATTTCATGATCTTGTTACATACTCCCTCTGTTTCATTATAAATGTCACTCTACAGCTGTGCACACGGATTAAGGAAATAATTAATTTTACATATTTCCTATATAAAAACACAATTACCTATACACCTAACCATATTTTAACCAATAGAAAAACTAAGTACATAATAAAATTAATAAATTTTGCATTGAAAACCAAAAACGACACTTATTTTGTAACGCAAAAACTTATCTACAACGACATTTAATATGAAACGGAGGGAGTATTGTTCATGAAATGAAAGAAAGAAATAAGTTTTTTTTTTAGGCATTGACACGTTTAGAGTTTATGAAAAGAAATCTTTAATGTAGATATATATTGTGTGTTTGTGAATAAATCTAAGAGAATGATAGGTTATTAAAGTTTTTTCGCTTGGCCTCTCTTGCCGACAGGTTCTTTAGTATGACAGCTACTTCACGATCGTCACAAACAAGATTTGTCAAATTAAAATGGTTTAAATCTGATATAGTACTATATATTATCTTCAGTAAAAAGTATAATATGACTATAGTATTTAGTATTTTATCAGTTAACATTTCTCACTTATATATTTTTCTCTCTTATGATATATGACTACAGTATTTAGTAGAAAATATCATGTTTGTTTTTGTGTCTCAGATTTCTGAATACATTGTCAGCATGGACCGTAAACTATAAAATACACTTAAAACTATATGTTATCTAAAATTAGAGGAGTTTCGTGTGTCGGCTGTCCCCTTCTTAAAAGAGGTCGACTTATTTGATTATGTCCAATCAAAGTTGTTAATCGATTGACATAAAATACAGTAGAATCCAAAATAAATAAAAATATTAGCGTTTATATGTTCAATGAACCACATACACATTTGTTTATGTAACACGACTCATAGATGCTTGAAACAAGAATATAACAACATTTATTCTGATCTATCTTGGCAAGACAAATTAAGTAAAACAAAAGAGTATTTCTTATCAACAGTTTAGCTCTCAAATCTTAAGATTTTCAACTTTTTCGTAAGATGCTTTTTGCCAGGTTAACATAAATGAATTTTCACTTAAAAAAGGTCCTGTGATTATTTGCCATGACTAACTTTTTTCTCAATTCTTCTGATCATGGCATCTTAATACTATAAATTCATGATGATGAAGGTTGTTAATTTACTCATGTGATATGTCTCACACAACTTTTTAAATCTGCTTGCTGACTCATATTTCACTTGGTACCTTAGTTATTTTGCTCAACCTGTACATCAATAAAAAAAATTTAATTTATCCTTTTGTGTCAGCTTAATGATATATTTATTGTATCGATGTTAATCTTGTTGATAGAAAACGATGTATATGCATAGCTTATACATATCATGTGTATTAGATCTTTTATCTTCCACGTACTCGTTATTCTCCACCATTCTTTTATGGTTCCAAGTGGTCACCTTACAACGTGTAACACATAGATATATGCTTTAGTTAACATCTAAAAAGAATAAACACCATAGAATACTGCAATGTGATATTCCATCTTTTGACATGGATAATTTAGGTAGATAATTCGGTTGACAAAGAAAAGGTAGATAATTCGGAGACCTAAAAATATTTGAGAAATGATCTCTGAGAAAGTAGTTGTTTAATAGTTTTTAAATCTCCATGAATTATAAATGCTGTCGCAAATTACTATTTTCTGCATAAATGTATAATAAGTCTGGTTACGTACTGGTTAGTAACTCTTGTTACATTATCAACAACAGTTAATAAAAGCAAATAAAAGAATATATAGTTTCGTACGAACATATCATTATGTTTCTTATAATTTATGTATATTACGGGTTGTACAGTTCTCACTTTTTCTATTCTTATTGAACTGTTACAGTTCACTCGTCTTTTCGGAAGATATAAAGATTGTCCCTTGGATATCATTATTCATTATAAGCTTTAGTATTGTTTTGTAGACCAATATAACAAAAACCGTAGGTTCATGTAATATATTTATATTATTAATGCCAGAGATCGATATCAAAAGACTAACAAACTGCAAGCATCAGATATCTTTTGATATTACAAACACCATGTAATAATATAATGTAGGATATCTATGCTTGCAACCTCTTCTGTATTTTTAGACTAACTAGCTGGAATAAGATTAGACCCCATAATGGGCTAAGAGAGCATTTCCAATGTAAAACTCCATTTTTTCCTCCAAAATGGAAAAATATGGAGTAAAAATATTCTAACCCCACTCCATTTTCCATTTCATAATGGAGTGATGAGCAAACAAAAAAATAGATTATTCTATTTATGGAGTAAATTCTATTATAGAGTAGAAAATGGAGTAGGGTTTGAGTGTTTTCTACTCCATATTCTCTTTTACTCCATTTTAGAGTAAAAAATGGAGTTGGGTTGGAGATGCCCTAACATCCTAGTTACTCCATTTGGACCGTAGGCATTTTAAGTTCTTTTAGATATATATGATTTTAAAAACTATTTATTTTCATGCACCTAGTAGAGAGTTTCATTTTACAATACATATGAGCCATAATCGGTAATCATTAAAAGAATATGAAAAATAGAAAAGGAAAGAATGAAAATAAGAAAAAAATCTATTTCTCTCCTAATTTGATAAAAAAATCATTGTAGTCAATTATTCTTTAAATGTTATAGAATATTAAGAAACTATAAAGAACATAAATACCTTGTAAATAGTGTAAATTATAAAAAAAAAGATAAAGAATTCACTATTCCGACTCATTCTCTTTGTTACTATTTAGAGTCATGGAATATCATGATACATTTTACAGTTTTTGTGGATATTCCATATGTATTTTTAATTTTAAAAAATACATATGAAATATCAATAAATTGTAAAGCATAAGTGCATAAGTAGAACAATAGAAAAGTAACTTTAACCTAGTCCATAATACGAGGTAACACGACGTGAGTTGGAAAAAAAGTCGTAAACATCCAATACTGAGGTCTGACAGTCTCTGGTTTACATTTTAACAATAAAAATGTAAGATGAGGGAAGCATCTGCAGGTTGAGGGCAGGACAGAGTTCGTAGGATACGTGTCGAACTGTTAGTGGGTTAAGCTACTATTTTCCCTACACTCTTTGGATGTGTTGCGATTGAACAAAAACAGTCATGCATACATCACGTGCCTGAAGTGACACGTGTCGATACATTACTCCTTATTGCTAACCTACTTGTATTCATCCCGATATGTGATGTGACGCTAATTTACTTTTGTTGGGAGTATAACTAAGCAATTAGAATGACGAAATGTAGAATGGAGGCTGCAAAATTGATTTATGACCCGTATTCTTTGTTTGCAACTAGCTAATGATAGTACCCTGTTTAAGACATATAATCTACTCTATTAAAATAGAGTCATTTTTTTTATCTACCGATACAAGTTGTCATTTAAATTTGGACTCTTTCTAAAATGTTACAAATAATATAAGTCATATAATTGATTATACCGTATTACTTAAATTAAACCAACACAATTAATGTAAAGAGACGACATTAATGTAAACTACCTTCAAAATATGGCAGGTATCTATGTGTATACCGAAAACACATATTTTCTCCTACAAATATGGAATGTTCTAAAAGAATATATATCATCAAAATATGGAATATGGAAATCTACTAATTATATTTAAATTAAATCAGTGGTTATTTATGGAATATAGTCTTGGGCTTACTTTTGTTTTTTGAACAAATTATATAGTTTGGTTTTTGAGCTTAGTATTAAGAAAAAAACTCTAAAAACATTGAATAAACTTTTCACCTTAAAATATCAAAAAATCAATTATTATTTTCAGACCCAAAAGGTATTTAATATTTTTTTTTAAAAACAAAATTATCTATTATTAATCATTTATTTAAATCATGTACTTTAAAACATGTTTTTTTTTATTCTAAATAACAATCACTTTGTTTTGATAAATTTCAATGGTAACTTTTAAATAATTTATTATTTTATTTTTCTTAAATAATTTACAGACTAAAAAATGTAAAGCAAAACCAAAAACCAAATCTAAAAACTAAAATCCAAAACCAAAAGCTGAAAACACATGTTATATTTTTTTGCTTTGTTTATTTACAAAATAAACTATTTCAATTTTTTTTTTTAAATTTGTTGTCATCTTTTCAGTTTTAAATTAGATGTTCGATTATTTGAGATTTGTTTGTTGGTAATATTAGTTCAAACTAACTTAGCGGGTTTAAAAATTAAAAACCAAAACCAAAAACTGAAAATGAAAAGTAGAAACTTAAAAACTAAAAACCAAAAACCAAAATAAAAACTGAAACTTAAATTTAATGAAAAATAATTATCACCACAAATTTTGGTGAACTGGTTTTATATTAAAATATTATTTAAACTACGACAAAACTCAATTATATAAACTTTTAATCATAAAAAATTTCCGCGCTTTTAAGCGCGGGTCAAAATCTAGTAATCTATTAAAATAGACTTCTATCTCTTATCTACCTACAAATAGTCTAAGTTAGTCTTTT